TCAGATAGGATTCACAGGTTGGTGCCGGCAGCTGCCATAAGCCTATGAAAACAACAACTAGCTGTCAATACTGGAAACATTCTAACACACTAGAGTAAGCACCTCTTTAATTTTTAATTTTGCTATTTCGTGTTATTTTTAGTTATTCACATATCTTATTTCCTTTATTGCTGTGAAAGAACTAATAACTCATAAGAAATATTACTGTCAATCATTACTAAGAGCACATATCTTCTCCTCAAGTTTGATAACACATTTCTGTCTGCAACACCAGTGTGACGTCACACCAGCCTTCCTGTTGTGGAGCAGCGTCTCTCTTGCCTGGGAGGTTCAGTCCTGCGGGAGACACGACCATCCCCGGACCAGTCATGGGGAGCCTCGGCTTACTGTCACTCTGTGCAGTAGCATCTGCATTGTCGTTCTCAACTCTCACTGCTAAAAGTCATGTCGACAGAGTTAGTAAAACGTTTCAGCCACAAAACATCACCGAGGAACCAGGATCAGTGGTCCAGCCAAAGCCCTGCCAACTGTATGCTCCGGGGCTGGTGGAGGCGGCCCTGCCAACAGTGGTCAGTGTGCGACCGCCTACATCAGTGTGGTGGAGCGTGCACCTGTTGCTCGTCTCTGAAGGAAACACTAAAGTCTGCATCACTCTTTCAAGAGCCTCAACCGACGTTTACGCAGAGCTCTTCACTGACAAATGTGGGAAACACAGTAATGATACTTATGTCATACCAAGGAACTATATTAAAATCGATTGGTTTCACATCAAAGTGGAAACTTTTAACACACTGGAGATCTTCATAATTATTCCCAGAGAAGAAAGAACTATTTTTTCCCTTGATAAGATTCTACCTCCAGCCAACATGTCGCTGATCGTGGACGCCGTGAAACCTTTTAAAACCAAATTCAATTGTCCCTCCGCCTGTAACATTGAAGAAGTTCCACATAGCAGCGAGCTTCGTCTCTACAAGCAGTTTTATAATAATTTTTCTTTTAACATAATGCCTGAATCACATCTCACAGAGCTTCAGGTTCGTGTGGCTCAGATTAAGTGTATTTCATATCAAACCCTTACCCATAATATTAACATTCCTCCGTCAAGAGTCAACTCCGGGGCGACCATCGCCCTCTACTACACGAATGACCAGTTTGTGACCGTCCATGTTGACGGTGAGCTGTTCGCCTCACACTTCGTTAACAACACAGTCTGCCTCACCTTCTCCTCCATTACTGTCTACACACGAGGTTCAGCAAGTCTTGGTCACAACTGTGAGTCCTTCCTGGCTAATGCCTCACCTCTCTCACAATCAACTCTCCCTTTCACGTCAGCAGATGTAAAGTCACCAACTTCGCCAAGTATCGTGTCGGAGACCTTCCTCACCAGCACGGTAGCAAGTACGAAGTCACTGAACACCTCCACCAGCACGGTAGCAAGTGTGAAGTCACTCAACACCTCCACCAGCACGGTAGCAAGTACGAAGTCACTCAACACCTCCACCAGCACGGTAGCAAGTGTGAAGTCACTGAACACCTCCACCAGCACGGTAGCGTCCAGTATGCAACAGAAGACGAACACAACTACCTCGCCGCCCCCACTCGGTCGAACTGAGGTTCTCCTTTTAGCAGGAGCATCTGTCATATTTACCTTCGTCGCAGTTTTAATAATAATAATGCGAAGGCAGTGCCAATATCTGCACGTTAGACCGCAGCAGTGTTCAGCGGGTGGTACAGGAGAGGTAACGGGGATCAGACACCACAGTTCAGGAGAGACGCAGGGAGCCGTTCACCTACCTTCCGTGGCAGAGACATTCCCTGCCCCGTCGCCCACCCTCGACGCTCAACACACAGCCGCTCATGTCCTGGGCCGCCACACTAGCGAAAACAGTCTCTACGATTCCGGCTTATGTCCAGGGGCAATAGTCGAGGATAAAGAACCCAGCTAAAATATCACCAAACATTAAGTCAACAGCAAAGACTCAGTTCCAACTTGGACCACCACTGCATCGCCCACTCACCCCTCTACCCACCATAAATCTACCCCAACCCCCCTATCTCCATACAACTACCCCCCCCCCTACATCTACCGCCCCCCACCAACACCCCCCGCACCACCAACACCTCTAGCCAAAACAATAAGCATACTATACAACACCCCGAAATGGTTTCAAGTTTACATTGATTCAAGATATTTTTAGAAAATAGGCAAACGGGTGAAACACGATAAGATTAACATGGTGGCACCTGTCTAAGAGACTCGTGGACAGAAACTCACAAAGTGCCAATTGTCTAGATTTTCCTGGACAGAAAAACAGGGAGAGCATAAAATATTTTGCAGTTTATATTTAAATAATAAACAAAACAGCAATAAAATGTTTTAATTGCCTTTATTTCTCTTTTTTTTAATTGCATTATTAGTTGAACAAAAGAGGCCTAAGTGACAGGAGAGACCTTAATGAGTTATTATACACTGCAGGAGTTATACGGCTCGAGTTATCATACACTGCCCGAGTTATCATACACGGCTCGAGTTATCATACACTGCCTGAGTTATCATACACTGCCAGAGATATCATACACTGCCTGAGTTATCATACACTGCCTGAGTTATCATACACTGCCCGAGTTATCATACACTGCCAGAGATATCATATACTGCCTGAGTTATCATACTTTGCCAGATATATCATACACTGCCAGAGATATCATACACTGCCTGAGTTATCATACACTGCCCGAGTTATCATACACTGCCAGAGATATCATATACTGCCTGAGTTATCATACACTGTCAGATATATCATACACTGCCAGAGATATCATACACTGCCTGAGTTATCATACACTGCCCGAGTTATCATACACTGCCAGAGATATCATATACTGCCTGAGTTATCATACACTGCCAGATATATCATACACTGCCAGAGATATCATACACTGCCTGAGTTATCATACACTGCCCGAGTTATCATACACTGCCAGAGATATCATATACTGCCTGAGTTATCATACACTGCTCGAGTTATCATACACTGCCCGAGTTACCATACACTGCCCGAGTTATCATAAATATCTCGATTTATCATACAACACCCGACCTATCACTCATCTAAATTATGCATCGAACAACAGTATGGTGTTATCACTTTTGAAAATATAAGAAACAATTCACATACAACCAAATAAGTCCCAGAATTCAATAATATTGCACCTGAAAGTCACGTGACGATGGAAATACTCACACTGGAAATCATAAGAAAAAAAAAGAGACATGATAACCACGTAGAAGATACTAGAAAATAGACAAAGATTCCATTATGAACCACCAGTAAGGTAAATCAGGACATAACTGCCTAGTACTGAACGAGCGCTGTAGAAGAGGCGATAACAAGATCTATCTCTTTGACAACTTTAGTAAATGATTGGAATGGATTTCTAGAATTGAGACCAAACAACTGATAGAATCATTATAACTACTTGATGATGAAGTATGAACTAGACACCAGAGAACTGTATTCTTGAAGTTATAATCAATCAAAAGTACAAATACTTGTTTTAGTGGGGTTCTATCAGACTGTTAGTACTCGCCTGGCGAGATGTCGGTTGAGGTTCGCGTCTAGCCAAGGGCGTTGAGATATCAAGCAGCGACTTTAATCAAATTTGTTATGGAATCCAACATATAAAAAGTACCATCCACTGAAAATGGGAAAGAGCTGGAATAGGTTTCATTAAAATAATAGAACAAGTGGCGAACTTAAATAAGCCGCCCGTCATATTTAGTGGGTACCCACAGCAGAGCAGACGTCAGTTGCCCATAGCAGGGCAGACGTCAGCTACCCACAGCAAAGCAGACGTATACCCACAGCAGAGTAGAGAGTCAGTTACCCATAGTAGAGCAGACAGTCAGTTACCCATAGTAGAGCAGACAGTCAGTTACCCATAGTAGAGCAGACAGTCAGTTACCCATAGTAGAGCAGACAGTCAGTTACCCATAGCAAAGCGGACGTCAAATAGCCATAGCAGGTCAGACGTCAGATGCCCACAGCAGAGCAAACGTTAGATACCCACAGCAGAGCAGACGTCAGATACCCACAGTAGAGCAGACGTCATATACCCACAGTAGAGCAGACGTCAGATGCCGAAAGCAGAACAAACGTTAGATACCTACAGTAGAGCAGACGTCAGATGCCCACAGCAGAGCAGACGTCAGATACCCACAGTAGAGCAGACGTCATATACCCACAGCAGAGCAGACGTCAGATACCCACAGCAGAGCAGACGTCAGATACCCACAGCAGAGCAGACGTCAGATACCCACAGCAGAGCAGACGTCAGATACCCACAGCAGAGCAGACGTCAGATACCCACAGCAGAGCAGACGTCAGATACCCACAGCAGAGCAGACGTCAGATGACCACAGCAGAACAGACGTCAGATGAGCACAGCAGAGCAGACGTCAGATGCCCACACTAGGGTAGACCTCCGACCCACATCACAACACTCGGTAGCTACCCGGGCTAACCAAGAGCCACGGTCAAAGGGCACGCAGGAGTCTCCAGGACCAGTCAATCCCCAACTCTCCTCGGTCAAGCAACTCCCGCCAAAATATATATTTTATGTTTCATGTGACCCAGGCGATACTCACGCCAGACGTCGTAGCAACTGAAGCTGCTGAAGACAAAATTGTAATCCTACAGCTGAGTGTGGTGGAGCAGCGAATTGTTCCCCGGTAACCTCTAGGCGGAACAAAAGCCAGATTTCAAGACTGAGCCGGGAAATCATCACCATCATTTGTGAACATCAGTTGATATATTTTCTCGTGGATGAGTAGCCAATTTTTCCGCGGAAGCAGCCGTGTGGCTGAGCAAGCGGTTATACAACAGGTACATTCGTGGGAGACATGGGTGAAGGTTGAAGGGAAGAAATAAGTGGCAGGACATGCAAGGAAACAGAAGAGGGAGGGAGAGAGGAGGGAGAGGGAGAGAAATATTACTATAAATCATAAATTATATAAAGCCAAATCTCTTTACTCAAGTTTAGTATGGTATCATCGCGGAGGTATCATTGTTATTGTTTTAGATTCAGCTACTCAGAACAAAAAGTTGCAAGTAGCACGGGCTATAGTGAGCCCGTAGTGGACTTACCCGGCACAGGAGTGGAGCCGTAACTCTTGTGGCGGAGGTATCAGTGTGACGTCACACCAGCCTTCCTGTTGTGGAGCAGCGTCTCTCTTGCCTGGGAGGTTCAGTCCTGCTGGAGACACGACCATCCCCGGACCAGTCATGGGCAGCCTCGGCTTACTGTCACTCTGTGCAGTAGCATCTGCATTGTCGTTCTCAACTCTCACTACTAAAAGTCATGTCGACAGAGTTAGTAAAACGTTTCAGCCACAAAACAGAGTGTCAAGGGACATCATTGAAGAACCAGGATCAGTGGTCCAGCCAAAGCCCTGCCAACTGTATGCTCCGGGGCTGGTGGAGGCGGCCCTGCCAACAGTGGTCAGTGTGCGACCGCCTACATCAGTGTGGTGGAGCGTGCACCTGTTGCTCGTCTCTGAAGGAAACACTATGGCCTGCATCACTCTTTCAAGAGCCACCACCGACGTCCAAGCAGAGCTCTTCACTGGCAAATGTGGGAAACACAGTATTGATACTTATGTCATACCAAGGAACTATATTAAAATCGATTGGTTTCACATCAAAGTGGAAACTTTTAACACACTGAAGATCTTCATAATTATTCCCAGAGAAGAAAGAACTATTTTTTTCCTTGATAAGTTTCTACCTCCAGCCAACATGTCGCTGATCGTGGAAGCCGTGATACCTTTTAAAACCAAATTCGATTGTCCCTCCGCCTGTAACATTGAAGAAGTTCCACACAGCAGCGAGCTTCGTCTCTACAAGCAGTTTTATAATAATTTTTCTTTTAACATAATGCCTGAATCACATCTCACAGAGCTTCAGGTTCGTGTGGCTCAGATTAAGTGTATTTCATATCAAACCCTTACCCATAATATTAACATTCCTCCGTCAAGAGTCAACTCCGGGGCGACCATCGCCCTCTACTACACGAGTGACCAGTTTGTGACCGTCCGTGTTGACGGTGAGCTGTTCGCCTCACACTTCGTTAACACCACAGTCTGCCTCACCTTCTCCATTAGTGTCTACACACGAGGTTCAGCAAGTCTTGGTCACAACTGTGAGTCCTTCCTGGATAATGCCTCATCTCTCTCACAGTCAACTCTCACTTTCACGTCAGTAGGCGTAAAGTTACCAACTTCGCCAAGTATCGTGTCGGAGACCATCCTCACCAGCACGGTAGCAAGTATGAAGTCACTGAACACCTCCACCAGCACGGTAGCGTCAAGTATGGAGTCAACAGCGACTTTTCGTACATCTAAGACACTCAAGTTTATCTGCCAGAAAAAACCTGTGGAACATCTGTACAGGGTTTTGCTAGTGGTGAACACGACGGTATTGGTGGTGGAGGTGATCATCAGCCTGCTCATGTTGACTCTCGTATATCGAGCTACACGCTAATGATAAAACACTTAGGTGGATGCTATAGTCTGCTGGATCACAACACACTTCACAGAAATGGCATGTGTGAGAGAATATAATCTGAACCAATTCCACAAAATAGTTTTACTTTCACAAACACACAGTGTGCAAATGTTGCTCCAGTTACTGTCATTTCTTTAACGGGTGTCCGTGGCATTCTCGCGTGGGAGGGACTTCATGTACCATAACCAGTAGGTGACGATCGTTATCCAACTGTCACACTAATGTAGGGAAGGTAACACCAGGGTCCTCCTCGCTGTAAGCCCCAGGTGGGATTGTGGTCACCAGCAGACAACGGTCCGCCACCAGACCAGCACTGAAGGATCTCCAGCAAGTAACGACCTCCGTCAAGCCAACCGTGGAGGATCTCCAGGAGACAATGGTCCTCCGTCAGATTAACAGTGATCTCCGTCATACGACGATCCTTCGCCAGGCAACTAGTGAAGGAGGCCAAAACATTCACATACTCGGGCGTGGATTTGACTCACCCCAACACTTATTCTTTGGAATGATTAGTCATTAATCAATGCATGGGGGTCAGGTGACTGCTGTCTAACTTCAGTTAATGTTTGTTTTAATGTGACAGATATATTCCCACTGGTTCAAAGAAGGACCATCAAACAATTTTAAAACATTTAGATTCTACAGGTTATATGTACTTGGGTGGAAATTAATGGGATCAGCTCTCGAATGACTATAGCCTCAAGTGTTTGAAGTCTCCTTCCACCACTGGATGGTATTATGGAGTCGAGAGTGCTGTTGCTTAATTCGAGATGGTTATGTTAATACTGTTTCTTGCATTTATATACTGATAAAATACTACCAGCAGAGGTCAACAGTGCTCCCAAATCTGCCTTCATCATTGTCATCTTGGTGAAATTATGCAATTTTCGTCCAAATTTTAAATATCAACTAATGCGTGATGCATCAAATGAACAAATCCACAAGGGTCGTGACGAGGTTGGAATGAGAATCGTGACGAGGATTCGAAAGATTCGAATCCTCGAATCATCGAGGTTTAGGTAAGGTTCGAATCCTCGTCACGGCCCTTGGGGATTTGTTCATTAACTAATGCTTCACCTATGGTTAAAACTCTGAGGTGTATTATAAGCACATTATCAGTTACGTGTCATGGAACCTCTTATTGTAGTTGTATTTACATTTAATTTAAAAATTTATCTAACTGGATTAAGTCATATACTTTTTTATCTTTAGGAACAATTCCCAAGATGCCAAGAGTGAGGAAGATGGGGGAACACCTTCACGAGCACTGAGGAAACTAGAACAATGATTACTTTTAAATATCCAAAAGAGTGACTAAAGATCTGATACAAAAGCCGAACAATATTCACACCAATAACATTAAACAGTCGAAAGTGTAGACTGATCATTGCTCTACTTAAATATGACTCGTCAAGGGTTCTCCTCTTCAGGTATCGCCACACTTGCTATGCAGTGAATTCCTATGCAAATTCTCCATAAATATTGCAATTAATTCTCGCTGTATTGTCAAATTATTACAGATGTAAGAAATTATAGCCACACGGGTTTTCATATTCTGTTATCTTAGTTCATAAAAGTGATCTTGGTTAAACGCATTTGTTAATATCCTCCACTTTAATATTGTCGACTTGTGCAAGATACAGAGATGAAAACCCTTGAAGAATTAATCTATGTTACCGCTCCTTGAATTTTTACCTAAATGTGAGGCTTCGGTCTCTATAAGGAAACAATTTTAGTTCTAGCTGGCTTCATGTAAATATTATCTTACTATAAATAAGTGCCACCAATACTTTACCAATCCCTTCATCCTTGGCGTAAAATATTATTTTATTGTTAAATGACAGACACATAAATAAAGAGAGACGGAGAAATAATATTTCATAAGATATACGATTTTATGACATATCTTACCCAAAATATATTCATTTTCCCAAATTTGGTATGATACGGATTTCCGGATCAGAAATATCTGTTTCGTCACATCCGACTTTCCTGTTACTTGGTATATTATCATCTGCTTGAGACGCGCACATCCGAATAATCACTGAGAGCATCAGCTTCGTGGTATTTTCTATTAAAGTCTGAATTATCGTTCTCAACACCCGCTACTAAAAGTTATGTCGACGGAGTTGGTAAAACTGCATAGCCAGAAAACACAGAGACAAGAGACATCACTAAGGAACCAGGTTCACCTGCCCAGCCAGAGCCCTGCCGACTGTCTGCTCCGTCTTTAGTGTGGGAGGCCATGCCACCACTGGACAGTCCCTTGGAGCGTGCACCTCTTCCACATCTTTTAAGGAACAACCACATCCTGCGTCACTCTTTCAAGGAACATCGCAGATGTCCAAGCTGGCCTCTTCTTTGGCAAATGTATATCTTGAGGTTATCTTGAGATGATTTCGGGGCATATCGTCCCCGTGGCCCGGTCCTCGACCAGCCTCCTTTTTGTTACACATCCCCTGTTACCTAGCAGTACCTAGATAACTGGGATACATAAATAAGATATAGGCAGATACAGACAGCTGCTACGGGCTGCTTCCTTGGGGGAGATTATCTTGAGATAACCTCCCCCAGGAAGCAGCCCGTAGCAGCTGTCTAACTCCCAGATACCTATTTACTGCTAGGTAACAGGGGCATTAGGGTGAAAAAGATTTTTTACAAATTCAATGAATTCAGGAAATTTCATTGCAAGTCAGAGGTGTCACATCCAAGTGCAAGGTTTCAAAACACACACACTTCATCATGGATATGAAAGCTCTCATTTATGTACAAAAGTGCCGAGGCTACAATAAGACTAGAGTCAGAATTATTGGGGTTAAGCTATGAGGATAGATTACGGGAACTAAAGCTCAGAACCCCTAGAAAATAGAAGAAACAGAGAGGAGATGATCACATCATACAAGATAATTAAGGGAATAAACGAGTGGGACAAGTAGAGCAATATTAAACTGAGAGAAAGTTAGACGACAGGATATAACTGGAAGCTGGAAACGCAAATAAGTCGAAGAAATCTAAGGAAATACTCGTACATTGTGGTCAACAAGTGGAATGCACAGAAAAGAAGCTGTGGAAGCCACCTCTATCCACAACATTAAGTCCAGATTCGACAAAGGACTTGGACAGGTACAACAAAACCAATATGCGCGACATGAAGAATTAGAGTTCACTTTTCAGAAGTCATTAATTAGCAAGCACTAAGACGTAAGCACTGACAAATATTCAAGTTGGGTGTATGAGTCAGCTACACCACTGTCTCAAGGATTACACTCGTTAAGGTAGCTTCTTGACACTTTTCATTTAAACGACACTATAGTCTTCGCATCATTACAGTCATTGTAATAGTGTAACACCGACACATTACAACGCAAAGTGTTCTGCAAATGTTATGAAAACTCTGTAATCACCAACACTGATCTAATCCAGCATCTTTCTCAGTAATATTTACCGGTCTGGCTTCTCTAAATCCAGTATGACCTAAAATAAATAGCTAAATTTGAAACTATTGCATAACAATTTTAGGGGTAAAGGTTTATCATAACTTATGAATTAAACAACGAAAACCTGTGGAATCCTACTAGGGACAAAACAAAAAAGGACTGTATACCTTCGCAAACAAGCAAGCATCTCCAAGCAAAGTAAGATACACATCACTTTCTCTGATAACCACTACATGGCGTCCCACCCGGCCATCCTGTTGTGGAGCAGCGTGTCTCTTGCCTGGGAGGCTCAGTCCTGCGAGAGACACGACCATCCCCGGACCAGTCATGGGGAGCCTCGGCGTCCTGTCACTCTGTGCAGTAGCATCTGCATTATCGTTCTCAACTCTCGCTACTATCTGTCATGTCGACGGAGTTCGTAAAGCTGTACTACAGCCAGAGCCCTGCCAACTGTATGCTCCGGGGCTGGTGGGGGCGGCCCTGCCATCAGTGGTCAGTGTGCGACCGCCTTCGTCAGTGTGGTGGAGCGTGCACCTGTTGCTCGTCTCTGAAGGAATCCCATCAGCCTGCGTCGCTCTTTCAAGAAACACCACAGATGTTCATGCTCAACTCTTCTCTGTTAATCGTGGGGAACACAGAATTGATTCAGGAATCTTATCAGGAAATCTGGTTACGAACGACTGGGTTCACCTCCATGTGGAAATTGTAAACAAACAGATGATCAGAATTTCATCAAAAGAAAATAAAATAAATTTGAACATGGGAATATTTTCAGCTTCGTCCAACTTATCGTTGGTCGTGAACGCTGAGAAGTCTTATAAAACAAAATTCAAGTGCCCCTCCACCTGTAACATTGAAGAAGTTCCAAACAGCAGCGAGCTTCGTCTCTTCAAACAGTTTGATAAAAGTGTGTCTTTCAGCATAATGTCTGAATCACATCTCACAGAGCTTCAGGTCAATGTTGTTCAGATTTTGTGTTTGCGAGGGATGGAAGATATCCGAAATATAAACATTTCTTCGTCAAGAGTCAACTCAGGGGCGACCATCGCTCTGTCCTACACAAGTGACAAGCTTGTGACGGTTCACATTGACGGAGAACAGTACAGATCGTACCGTCTAACAAAGCCCTGTCATACCTTCTCACGCTTTGACGTCTACACTCGAGGCTCAGCGCGTATTAGTGAACACTGTGAATTGTTCTTGCCTAGTATAACGTCCCTCTCACCATCGTCTCTGATGTTCACCACTTCAAAGTTATCTTCGTCAGGAACCAATTATAACGCGTCTGTGACACGCAAAGCCAGCATCTTCAAACCATCTGAGGAACATCTTCACAGAGTATTGCTAGTGGTGAACGTGACGGTGTTGGTGGTGGAGGTGATCATCAGCCTGCTCATGTTCACTCTCGTATATCGAGCAACAAAGTCATGATCTGACGCTCAGATCGATGGCAACAATGTGTTGGATCAAAAGATGATGCACTCAAATTTCTTGTTTCAGAAGACACGTTCAACCAAAATGAAGGACAGTCAATCATTTTGGTCCGGATCAAGCCGGGCTTCCTTGTAACTCAGCATGAACTAAGTGACCTCCCAGCTCACGTGCCTTGTTCATGCTGTCAACATTTCACAAGTGCTTTGTGTTATTCCCATATGGGGTTCCAAATTCACATTAAAGAACACAATGTTATTCAATCAAGAGGGTTCTGTGCCACCAAGACGTGCGGGCGGCTATGTCTAATTCTAGCGAGGCTCACTTTGCTGGCCCATACCTCAAGGTAGGCTTGATCACCTTGTGAGCGAGGGTTAGAGAATCCACCAACGTCGACTAGGTGGATACTCAGCCTGCCGAACGACACCACTAGGTCACGCTATAGTCAGCATGGATGTTAATAAGAGGAGCTGGGATGTCAGACCTCACTTCCACCACGGTACATGCACGATGAAGGTGGGCGAATTAGCTTCCAGTTCTGCCCTCTCAAACTATGAGCGAAGGTTGGATGAATATAAAATGCTGGCAGAAGGTATTCTTCGGTGGACTCAGGGTTGAGTCCACCGCCGCATCAAGAGCCATCTACCGAATCCATCATTATTAAAGTGCTCTTATACTCAGAAAACGTTTCAATAAGCCAAGATTTGCTTAATGATGAAGGTAGGATTGAGATGGTAGAGACAGTGTTGGGATGTGCTCAACACCCCACTCTTCTTACCCCATCCTCCAACTCCTTATCTCCTCCCACCTCTTCATCCAAAGCTTCATCATCCTCCAACTCCATATAGCTACTAAATATGGACTAAAGATGAAGTGTTACACCCAACAAAAAACTGTTCTGTTCTGCAATATTAATGTTGTAGAGAAACTGAGAAAGAGAGCAAAACTAAACCTTACTTTTCATAGGCCTAAAATACTACATATGAATTAAATTAGGCCTAGGATTGCTTATTGAGGACTTGAGCAAGTTAGCTTAGGTTGATAGCTTGACGATTTCGGCTTTCGCTTTGCTCTCTAATATTCCAATAGTACAAAATCTTGAACTTATTTTTTCTTGTAGAACAGTTCCCCACGTCATGATTTCATCCATAAAGACCATACGAGCTAAAGTGTTTGAAAGATGTTGAGATATGAAGGAGCGAATGTAAGGCGCTTTGTGTGCACAATGTTCATATATAAGCTAATGTAGGAGATACTGATGACGACGAATGTTTTAAATAAGATTATTGTGTTCAGTATGGTGACCTGGTCATTGCTTCATTGTGCTCAGTATGGTGACCTGGTCATTGCTTCATTGTGCTCAGTATGGTGACCTGGTCATTGCTTCATTGTGCTCAGTATGGTGACCTGGTCATTGCTTCAGTGTGTTCAGTATGGTGACCTGATCATTGCTTCATTGTGTTCAGTATGGTGACCTATTTATTGCTTCATTGTGTTCAGTATGGTGACCTGATCATTGCTTCATTGTGCTCAGTATGGTGACCAGGTCATTGCTTCACTGTCTTCATCATTATAATGAACCGATCAAAGTTTCATGCTTGTAGAATGATAAATGACCTTCACGGAAGCAAATAAATTGTAAAACAAAATATGGCTTAAGGAATTATTATAACTATTGAATACATTTATCATGTATGATGTGTGCATATGACCTTCGCAGCGAGCATAACCTCGGGAAAGTTATAGCCTAAATTTCCTTACCAAAGAGCTCCATTAAACGTCACTCGATGTCAATGGTAATTTTTGAGCTTCTCTAAACCTGAAGGTACAGCGAGATGGCAGTAATTACTGTTGAATCCAAAAATCTTTTTTGACGCATCTCTTAATTATGTTAGTCAAATGATTTAGCCTTGTTCAAGTACCTATCAAACCTCTATGGATATTTGTGGAAAAACATTGTGCTTGTAAATACTATTTTAAGCATTTGATAATAATGAATAAAATTCCAATGATTTTATATATATTGTTTATCTAATAAAGTTACAAAGAAACTTTTGTCATTGATTTTGATGTTGCTTTTTTGTTTATTTTTTACATATATATATATATATATATATATATATATATATATATATATATATATATATATATATATATATATATATATATATATATATATATATATATATATGCGTTGCTGTGGCTCAGCAACGCGCAACCTTCCCGTCTCCCAGTCCTCCCCACCATTCCCTGCCCCGTCCCCTCATCCTCCCAACAATTCCCCACTCCCCCATCCCCTCGTCCTCCCCACTATTCCTCCTCCTCCCCTGTCCCTTTGACCTCCTCAACATCCCCCACTCCAGCGTCAGCTCGTCCTCCTAACCATTCCCCACTCCACAGACCCCTCCTCCTCCTCCCCACCATCTCCCCCATCTCCTCATCCTCCATACCATTCCCCCCTCCCCTCATCCTTTCTACCAACCCCCACTCCTCTGTCCCCTTGTCCTCCCCACAATTCTCCATTCCCCTCGTTCCCATCATCCCCAACTGCCTCGTCCCCTCGTCCTCCCCACTATTAACCCCTCCCCTGTACCCTCGTCCTCCCCACCATCCCCCACTCCC